GAAAACTGAGGACTCTCGTGAAAAACTCTCCTGAAAAAAAAGAAGAAAAACTCTCGTGAAACCTGAGGACTTGTTACGTCCAATAAAAGAACTGGATAGTGCCACTGCAGCACCATTGAGACGTAATAAGGATATCAATTTTGATTACTTTTAGCTTGGATTGCGCCGTCAACGCCTTGTAACACCACTACGCTTCTTCCCTGCGGTCGCCACCACTGTCAAGATAAATACGGTGCGCACCGGCGCTGGCGCGAATAAAAGCACGTCCGTGATTGACCCAGCGGGCAAGGGTCGGTTGCCGAGAAGCTGGTCGGTTGAAGGTTGAGCCAGTGCATGACATTGGTCATCTGATACCCCTATTCCCAAAGCCAAAGTCCGCTTCGAAAAGGGCCACTAAGGTAAATTACATAATGGCAGTGATTGTGGTAAACGCCACGTAGGTGAGCAGCCATAGTACCACGTTGCATTGAATTCGGGGGATGATAACTTCATGTTTGCGCACCGTTGTTCCTAAGCAGTGTTTCAAGCTTTCGTGACATTTATTACGCAATCAGTTTTGACAGTGTGTCGCAAACATGACAAATTATACACGTTGGGAAAAGGAAGACAAATAAAATGTACTTCTTTCATCATAGTGGTAAGCAGGAAATCAAACAAGATTCCTTCCGCAAGGTTGGCTACCCCGAATCAAAATCGTGAACTATTTTGTATATGTGTTTGCTTTCTGGCTGTTTTCCCCTCAGATTTATCACAGCTTACTTCAGTTCAGTTCTTTATTCACGATCACTCTCCCTCAGTGTCCCGCATTTAGCTCCGCTTCTTTCGGCATTCTCACAGCACATATGCTCCTCTATTAAACTGCACGTTGCGTTGCATTGTCCGTGCATAACTTGTACACGCAAATCATAAAGACAGAGCTGTCATTGCATATCGCTGTCGCCAGCATGGCCTACTAGCCTGCCCGCTGGCGGCCGGCGGAGGTTTCAATAAAATGCCTGGTCACCTAATGTGGCGCCTGCGTGGCACACCCTGCCGAGCCTCGCCAGCCTTGTGCTCTCGGGCGGAGAAAGGGTCCTCAACTTGCTAGTGTGCGTTGCACAAAGCCTGTAGACATGGGCCGTGAGAGCTGTTTGACCAAAATTGCGTGGGAATTTACGGTGGTCCTGAGATTAATGGGGCGTGTGCTGCCGCTAGCCAGTCATCACGCGTTACTCTGTCATGTATGATGCCGTCAATGCTGCACAGTTATGAGTGAAATGTTCGGCATGCTTCGACCATGAGCATAGGTCCCTTGCGCAAGCCACGTTTTGTGTACTCCGTGAATATGGCTCCATTCCTTCTCCAATAGATCTTTATCACCCATCGTCAAGCGGACGCTTATTTGCCCTGACGTAGCGCAAGTAAATTACGTCTTGTGTAGCCAGGCCCAGCTCAATACAGTGCAGCGTAAGCGCCTGCTCGTTACGGATCTCAGCTGCTCTCGAAACACCGATCATGAGGCCGGCGCTGGCCGCCCGGGCTTGAGCAAGCCCAAGCCCGAGCAGCCGAGCGCCAAACGCCGTGCGAGCGGCGATAGAGGCGGCAGCGCCGCGTGTCCTCGTCGAGCACGATCCGTGTGATCGCCATGAAGCCGCCGTGCGGCTGCCGGCCGGCCGGCGCTCACGCAGCGGCCCCGGCGGCGAGAGGCACATCTGGCCCGGCCGCCGCCTCCCGCGCGGCAGATGGCGCACGATCCGGCTGAGAGGCGCGCGACACCGCACTGGCCGCGGCTGGCCGTCTCGCGGCACGCCCCCCGCCGCTGGATCAGCGTAGGTCACGGAGGGTCGGTCACTGGCACCTCGATTTTTAGCTGACACGGGCACCGGGGTCGGGGCATCAGTTAGGGGTGCTTTGGATGATGGTGTGCGGAAACTGTGGTTGGTTCCGGGGACACTTGGCCAAAAGCTGCGCGGACGAAGGTTGACATTTTGGTGAATGCTGGGGCGTTCACAGTATAGGGACTCAGAGGTCATTGCTCTTTCCGTGGAGCTTGTATCTTCTCCGGGCTGCAGTGCTTTCTGGTTATATAGTTTTGATAGATGTGAGGCACAGTGCAGGTGCATTGTCAGACTAAGCCAGATACCGGGGGTAACATAGGACGGGCCGCTATAAAAAGACACCAGCCAGAAAGGCTTTAGGCGCTGCACCTTTAAGCGCTGTCTTCTAAAATAAAGAAAGGATGCATGGTATGTTAAGGTAACTGGAGCACCGACAAGGGTCCCCGAATAGGAGGGTCATGCCTCCGCGGAAGGACCCCTAGAACTTCATCTGACGAACTTACGACTGGAAAGTGACCAAAAGCTTGAAAGAGGGAGACCTTTGAAATGACCAAGTCAGCGTTTTGAAGATGGTTCCTAGGTATTATGGCGTCTCCAAGGCCATTCGAGCCTAAGGCTGAGCCTCGTGTGATATACGAAGAGTGTCCTGAGGGTTATGATGACGCTTCATGGTTTGGAAGAGGATCCGAGACAATCCCCAGAATGCATGTCAGTACTTTCGGATATCCGGAGTTGTGAAGGAGTTCTCAGACTGCGAAGCACTTCATTACATGATGAGGCCCCGGCGACACTTAATATTCTGGTTGCAAGATGACAGCCAGAAAAGTTCACGTAGATAAGGATCAGGCTTGGCTACAAAATAGCACTCGTGCGAAATAATAGACTCCAAAACGCCGGGTAGGGGATCATGTCAGAAAAGCACCCTCCTCCCACGTTTTGTCGAAAACAGAGATGTAGTTTTCTGTTTAGTTGAGGCTACTCCCTCCCTCTGTCCCTTAGGCTTCAGCCTCCCCTCCCCCCCAACTTTGAGATGGAAGCGGGCCAAACCCGTGAAGAAACCCGTTTGTTGGCGTACTTTTGGTGCAGTTTGCGTTACTTATCGCTGCTCAGTCCCCCCCCCCCCCGCCCTCTCTCCTCACTCATTTTGTGACACTACGCCCCGGTTAAGAGGTCAGAACGTGAAGAACCTCGGTACTGCAATGGGAACTCATGATCTGAAAAAGGCATGAAAAAAGCTCAACGAGTCTCTGGAGTTGGGCGTTTTCAGTACAGACTAGGCGTCCCCTGAGAAGAGAGCACCACCTCATGCTCTCCCAACTTGCAGCGGGCATCCCACTCCGATTCATGTGGTGTCTTCCCTAATGACCGGAAAGGCTGCTTTTATGCTGCGATAATGAGACAAAGATTTGACCTTAGCACAGGCGTCATGGGGACGAGTACAGCAGCGTGGTGTTCTCCATTATAACTGCTTTGGCATGCAGGGCAATAATTTAGGTAGCCGGAATTCGTTCGTTCTGGGGAACTGTTCGCTCAGATCATCCCATCTCACAACCAGTCAGAGCTCCCATCATGTCCTGTGACCCATTACTCCCGGTGCCCACCCTCCCATCTGATCGCTAGCGCCTGTGGTGGTAGCGGTCGGCGGCGGCCGTCTGCTGGCCCCGGTGCGCCGCTCGGACGGCGGCGAGCCCGGCACGCCTCATACGGCGCCCGACCGGCCAGGGGTGCGCAGCTCAGTAGCCTGCTCCAGTGTCCAGGCGACGGCAGGGCTCCAACGCACGCTCCGGCACAGGAATCCAGCACCCCCGCCGACCGGCGCCAGAGGAGAGCGCTCCTCAGCTGCGGCGGACACGTGACCTGCCAGACGGGAGGTGAGGCAGCATCTTGGGTCAGCTGGGGTGCCGGGTGGGGCGCTGCCCGACAGACTGGGTGCAGACGAGGCTGGTTTGGGAGTTAGAAGTTCGATCGATCGTGAAATGTGCTGCAGCGTGAAGAGGTAAGAAACGACATGAAAACGTGCACTTCGCATTGTCAACATGGGTGCTCCGAAATGTGTGTAGAGCGCCAGAATGTCGTGGCCTCCAAAATATCTAAGATATTTTATGCTATTCACAGCCGTTTGTGCGGCGCCATGAGTCGGTGAAATGCAACCATATTGACATGCAAAATGATCATGTGAGCATGCTCAAAGCAAATGCGTCTAACATCTTCGGGTGCTGGCTTCTGGCTGCGGCTCAGATGAGCATGGTTTGGGATTGTCTCCGACCGATACACCACTTGAATCAAACCATACAATGAGCAACTGTGGCGCAGCCCTGTAAAGTTCGAACATAACCTTTGCCACCGCACACGAGGGCATGAATCCAGGTGCGTGGCTTTGTTCTCTTTACCGGACGCAATGGTTGTTCAAGGCATATGTTTTGAATGCTTGGGGCAGTCATGGTCTGCTTTAGTAAATATTTTGGTTGCTTCCTGGGTCTGATTTTCCACCGGAGGAGCGAGTCCTATTCGTGTTTCTTGAAGACTATACGCCAATGATTCACATTATTTGGCGACGGCCTCTCTACGCTGGTTTCCGTTCGCACGACTAGTACGTTAACTTTGTCCCGACGGTCAGCAGAAGGGACCGCAGGCCGCCGTTATCTCAGCCTCAGTTTACGCCACGTAATGGACGCGGTCTGCACCGCCACACGGTCCGCGGGTGAATTTTAATGAGCGCATGCCCGTCATGCTTCGGTGCGTTTAGCCTGCAGGTGAGGATTCCGGACCGACCACTACCAGCCTAGCAGTGCAACAATTTCACATGGGAGCCCGCACCGGTCCCAAACGCGCGTCACAATAAACTGCGGAAGTACTGTCGCACAGGGTTCACTTCTGTTTCGTACACTGCAGCCGGAGTTTGGGAGCTAACGCGCACTCTGGTCTCACTTTGGTAAGCGTCTTGAAGACGATAGTCTCATGATTCCACACGTTTGCCGGGTAGCGTCCTGAGGCTGACGTCATCAGCTCACTGACTTTTCCTTTGGAAGGGTCGTTCTGTCCCAAAAATGCGTTCCATTTTTTTCTGAACGAGCAGAAACTTATAATTGTAAATATAGCCAAGCTGGGATTTTCTTAAAGGGGGGGGGGGGGGTAAGGAATGGAGCTTAGTGAGAATGCCTTGCACTGTTTTTAAACGCTCTGTCAGGAGCCATCTGCGGCGAAAAAATGACAAATGCGGGTTAAGGGGATAGGGGCGCTCCCCCCCCCCCCGCATACCGCTGAGCCTGTGGTGCCAAAAGGATTTTTCGGCCCCAGCATATATCAAACGGCTTTTATGTTGCCAGTTTTGGGTTACGCCTTCGCTCGCAACGATCCGCTCTAAAACAGTCGTAATGAAAGCACCACCCGCTCTCATAGATTCCCATACATGCAGTTTGTTTCCGTAGTTCGCTTGCTCACTTACTATGGTCCCATGCTTAGTTAAAAAATATGCAGATTTATAAAGGGTGTAAGAGAAAATATAAGTATAAATACGATAGCAAATTATAAGTGGAGTGTGAAGTTAAATATGTACGGCTTTTTCATGATTTATTTTGTTAAGTAATTAAAACATAGCACTGCGTTTTTCTGGGAGAAACTTTTAACTATATGCTGAACTAAACTAAACTATACTATAACTAACTAAACTATAAAACTAAACTATAAACTACATGGGTGAGCCCATCCTTTGAGACTCACACTTCAGCAAATCGCACAAATCAACATCCCTGAACTCCAATTGCGGGGTTTTCCATCCACAGGCGGTAGCCAAACATAGGCTGTTCCATTTTGAATGTTGGTGTTTCGAACTGCTTGAGCTCCCCTGCGGGAAACAGTGATATGCACATGCTTGAATTTTTTGCGATAATGTCACAGCTGTACTCATATTTTCGAAAAATCTACAGAACTCACGCGGAGCTTCCTATTTGGTATTACATTTTTGACACATTTTCGTAGATTTTCGCCAGGGTGGGCGGCGGAAACCTGTACTCAGATTTATCGGGCCCGGCAGATGGATCATCAGGTGGAGTTCAATGGCTTAGCAATGTCTGTCTGCGTTGGCATGGTTCAGCGGCAGAATACCTGCCTACTCTACATTCACCCTGCTATGACCGGCGAGGGATCGCAAGTTGCTACGCTCATTCTTGTAGCAGTTGCATGCGTCGTAAGATAAACCATGAACAAAACGTTACCATAGTCATGTTTGGTATAACCACGCACACCAGGAGATTGCCAGATCGTCATGAAGCTGAAACCTGACTTGATAACTGGAACCTGGTCGGATTACCAGTGATGGAATTTCCTGACCATTGCAGCAGGTCGGCGAGCACATCCTTTTGTCCTCGTCCCTGCTCCGCCCGCTGGAATGTCATCTTCTCGCTGCGGGGAATGGCCCGGGTGGGGTATTGTACAGAATATATGTTATCATGGTCCACGGAGCATTAAGTTCCGAAATGGAGCATGGCTGCGATGCTTATGACGGGAACCAGTCCGTATTACAAGGTGCGCGGCGCAAGCACCTCTGGCCAGCCACGCCCCTCGATGTGATGAGTTGTTTCCAGTGACTAATGGCCGGGGACGGAACATCTGGCGGGGTTTACATGAGAACGGTTATTAATGGCGATATGGGCTTTGTGATACTACTGATCAGCACTTGTGGTGCACTGTCATTAGTATCAAGATGTTGCCAGGGTCTTCCAAGGAGCTAGACGGACTGGGCACGGTGCATAAAGACATCTACATTTTTGTGGTTGTCGTTTTCAGTTCGGCGACGAAGCGTTTTGCTGAGGGTAGCGTGAGTTGCAGGAGCGCGCAGTCGCATTCTGCCTGTCTGTGAGATTCACAGTCCAGCAGCGGTTTGAGATTATTCAAAAATGCCGCGTCGTGATGCGCTTCGCAGAAGTAACCATACATTCTGTGTACCACACGTAATGTCACATCCGCTCACGCTGTTCATGTCAGCACCCTGCGTAATGCAGCGCCCTGTGTAACGCAGTGTGCTGTGTTAAGTGGAAAGTGCGCGCTAAGGGTTTTTCAATGGTTCATTAATAGCACCATGTTTAACGCTACCTGTTTGCGATGGTAATGCAGGCTAGGAATTACCCGTGAACACCGCGGTAAAAATACCAGTTTGCGCAATCTTGATTTTTATCAATCACCAACCATGTAAGACCATTACTTATGTATCAAACCCATGGCGTGCAAAAAAGGAATAAGTTTAAACCATCTATACAGCATGCAAGCACATGCGGGGCAGTAGGACGCGCGTCAAATCTCCTTACTCTCTTGACGCTCTCACTGGATAAAACCCTTTGAACCCGCGGAGCGGTGGACCATGGCTCGAATCGAGGGCCGATTCAGCCCGGGTGTCAGCTGCCGCTGAGCGGTGAAACAGGTGAAACTCCTGTCACCTGCCGCCCGGGCTGAAGATGACGCGGCTCGGCGCCCGTTCTGACATATCATCGACCGATCCTCCAGCTGGGGTTACCGGCCGCTTCCGACCACCGCTGACGGTGCGAGGCCTTCGGACTAGGGGCGACGCTGTCCGGTTGTCGTGAGCACAGCGCTTCTAGAGCCGGGATCGGACATGCCGTTGGGGTAAATCACCATCGCTATTACTCAGGGTGCAAGAATGCCTTTGGAGACGGCTCATGACTGGACGATGATGTCCATTGGGCTATTTGTCAAGGGATGTTGCCTGCCCGTGATACCTTAATATCAGACTGCAAGAAAGTCGCACAATCCTACATACGCCAACAAATTCAGATGTACAATCAGTTCATCTCCCCGTGGGATAATAAATGGCTCCGATTCAACTCGCAGTTCATTTGTCAACCTGCCAAAGTCTTTGATACCATCTATATTGTGGAGCAGTGCGGAAACAAACGACCACGGGCTGGGACACCGGAAGGGCGTTCTTCCTCCCAGGATCAGAGGACGCCAGCTGTTGTCGCCGCTGACACGGCGGTCACACGGCCGTCGTCGGCTCGGAGGCGCCGCGCGGACGGGCCGGCCCACCGTGCTGAGTCCTCGGCTGAGGTTGGTCCGTCCCCGCCACCATCTTCCTCTTCCTGCGGGAGCAGGGGCCCCGTCCGAGACCGTCCGTGCTGCGAGAGGGATTGCTCCAACTGGGCCGCGGCGTGTGCTGCGGGAAGGAGGGCTCACGCTAGAGGGGGCTTATATGTTGCTGTGCTCATTTTATGTAGCAGCATTAACAGGCATGGTATTCTAACATTAGACTACGGTACCTTTGTGCTGCATGTACGGTGTTTAAATCATCGAGGCATACTGAAACTCAGGGCCGATGCCACCGGTGAATGATGGGACTGACGGTGTCATCACATTACAGATATTGTCACTTCGCTGTGCCCCTTGTTACGTGGTGTTCCAGAAAATAATTGAAGCTTTTTTTACTCAATGCGTGGAATTTCAAGCCGAGCACAGCCGATTCTGCTGTGGCTGAAATCACACGGCAAAGGACCGGAGCGGGACTGGTAATCTTCATGCGACAAATTGAACATATATTCTGGCTATCGTTCTCGTCTGGGGTTAGCGTAGATAGTGGCACACCAGACGAGGATGACGGCCCAACAATTATCCCATCCGTGATATCGATATCTCGTCTCATCCACTCCGCTGAACTACGTGGAACTGCTTTGCTAGCCATCCCATTGCAGCCCATCCCTTTGCATCCCATAAGCATCCTTTTGCAATCCATCTGCTCTGCAGTGTTGAAAATTCTCTGTTTCTTTGAACATCTGTGAAAGTGAGAAGCGAAATATGCTTTCACCAATTCTCGCTGATTAGGCAGTAATTTCGGTACTCATACAATAATTAGGCACTAAACAGCAGAACAACCACTGTGATTCATTTTAATTATGTTCTCATGGTGATTTTGTCATATTAATGGAAAACGCATTGTGGGTGAACAAATAGCCCGTGTATCAGATACACCTGCTTTAGAGCATTGGCTGGTTACTTGGCCCATAGACTTAGAGCCTAACGAATGCGACATTTATTATGCCTAATGTAAGTCATTGGTAACAATCGCCACGCTGCAAAACTGGTAAATAATCAGAGGTGTTGGGATTATTCCGGAAACAATCACAGTTCATGTTATTGCACATCTTCCACGAGAAGAAGCATTGATCACATCAAGTGAAATCCGCTCGCACCATTGCACTGCGTGATCCGGCCGAACCGTCACGGCCAGAGGCACGTCACACCTGCACGTCACGCGGCGCTGGGTTCTCCCACATTAAAAGGAAGATGTGCAGAAAAAAGGTGTCAATAATAGCCAGCAGTCTCAGTCGAACTGGCCTTGTTCTCTGCTTCCCACAATTAGGTGCTGGCGTGCGGGGTAGGTCCCGTGACCTGCGTGGTAAAGTAGCCATCGGACCGACAGTAACCGTGGCCGAATATGTTTCTCTTTCTGGGCAAAACCAGGTGTCCACACCACTCTATCCCACTCACCCTCTTTGCCTCTTGCTGTGCAGCATTTCACCAATACCTACAAATG